TTCCATTGGCCATCGAAAAATGTGAAACATTGTCAACCTCAGGTGATCAAGGGATCTCAGATGCCTTCGCAATGAGAAACGATAGTGAAAGGTAACTTTATCAAACGGACCAAACTCCAAAGGACTTTATTCCTTATTCAAATGTTTCAGAACATCTGCTACAGCCAAATATTTCTCAGGAGATGTAGACAAAGAGAATTTGCATCACGCGAACATCAATCAGCCGACTAAATAGCTAAGAAGACAAACGAGATCGGAAGTCAAGAAAAAACAAAAGAAACAGCAAAGCGCGGCATCAGTTTCGAAACTGGTGGACCCAAATCCAGCTACCTTGTCAGAAGATCTCGTGAATTCGCCAGCATCTGCAAAAGCATCGCGTTCTGTCAGTGCAGATGCGATCAGTATTCCGGAGAAAGAAGAGGCTAAAAAGTATCTTGATTTTTTGTTAATGGCTCGACCAATCAGTATATTTACAGAGCTCGTGATCAAAGCATTCCGCTTGAGACAGCTCCAGCTACAGCTAGCTGGAAATCTTCTAAAACCAATGAAGAGGTGATCGGTATTCCCGCAACCGTCACGTTCCCTATTGTCGGCAGTGCTCCTCCTGTCGCCAACAAGACTCATGCTTTCACTGAAGCTTTTGCCGTCTCCAAGGGTTCTGCAGCTCCGAAGGCTACTGTTGTCACTAAGTTCTCCGTTAAAGACAATACAACTACTGTCAGCAATGTTTCTATAATTGCCGAAGATTGTGCTGCCGACAAAGCTCCTGCCCTCATCCAAAAAACCGCTGCATCCGATACTTTGACTAAAACCACGGTTTCCGTTCCTGCCAAAAATGCCCAGATGTCTACTGTAGAAAAGTCTCTTGTTCAGGAAAAAGCTGTTCCTATCGCGCACTCTTCTGCTCCATCTGGAGAATCTGTTGCCGCCAAAACTAAGGCTTCTGTCCAGGCCTCTTCCTCTGTTATTTCTACTGTTATGGTAAAAGCTCCTGCTACCACTGAAGCTCCTGTATCCACCAATGAAGGAGCATTGCCTTCTAAGGCTACCAGAAAGTAAGAAATAAAATTTGTATCCTTGATCTAATTTTCTCCTTTTTAGGAACAAGAACAAAAACAAAAAATCAAAAAATGAGCCAAAAGACGACTTCTCTGCTGAATTGCCCAACAAAGCAGATAAAAAGTTGGAAGAAGTCAAACTAAACTTTTCAACAAAATTCGAAGTTTACAAGAAGAAAATGGATAATGAACGTCGGTTCCAGCTCGCTTTTGAGAAAGGTTTGTTTTTTTTTTAATTTCAGAATTTTTCAAATATTTATTTTTCAGAAAATTTTCAATCACACGATCTTCAAATGAAGATTTATGAGTGCTTAAAGCAGACACATCCATTTGACATCCACCTGAGAAGAAAAGAAATCGAGGAAAAGCTGAAGGAACGGATAATTCACTACAGAAATTCCAAATGCTTTGAGTACCAAATCATGGAATATGTAATGGAGACATTGAGTAATTGTAAAATGGACCTCATAACCGGAGACTGCCTGTACCTTTACTCGGATACAAGTCTCTCAGAGAAAAAGTTGCGTGCTCTTGAGCAACAATACCTGAGAATGGTAGAGTCTTGTAAAGATTGGATTGGCAATAGCGAACGAGAATGTGTCCTGACCATGGAAGAATTAAAGATGAACCCCGTGAAACTTTGTGATGAAAGTTGGTACGATCATTTCGTGACGTACATGAACCGTCAGGCACTACTACGAAATAATGACCGCCCGTCTAATATCCCGGAAATAAAGATAGAAGAACGTAAGACAAATTGCCCGAGGTCATGAATTATATTTAAAATTTTATTTTCAGTCATTTCTCAAATGTACGATGAAGAGTGTTTCGTCTACAAGCTATTTTCCGATTTTCAAGGACCTGTTGAATGGGATCCACTGACCACTAAGATTTTCATCAAGATGCGCCTCAATAATTTGGATAATTTATCAACTATTTCTGTAGAGGAGCGAGAACAGTTCAAGGAGTTTTACACTTTTCTATTAGCCACAAAATCCTCAATTGTAGATTTTGATATTTTCCAAATGTTTGGTAGAGTGTCGACGCAAGATTTGAGCAAATTTAAAACTGAGCCTTATGTAGAGAATTCGCTTTTTATTTTGTTTTTCAATTATCCTCACCCTCAGGTGTAAAATAAGTATTTTTGGTTAACGTTTTTCATGTTTTATCTAATATCATCTGAATGATGTATATGAATCTTGCTTCATTGTCTTAAAATATCTGTTCACATGAAGAGAGTCATAAATATATTAGACAAAGGACCGTAAGCTCATGTTTTATACTCTCGCAAAATCTGGGGCTTTGGCTGCTTACAATTGAATATTTAATTTTGGATATCTTGTTCTGATATTCTGGAAAAAAAACCATTAAAAAAACATCGGCTATTGGTATATACACAATCCCACTTCTCTTATTCGGGCCATCAATGCTTCTGGACAACTGCCTCGTGCTAATTGTTTATACTAAAACGCGTCTGGTGTGCGCGAAAAAAGGAGTGTTTCCAATCGGTGTCTTTCATCATGGTCCGCGTTCCAGTGAGAAAGAGCAGAAGGTTTTGCATATCAGATTTCACCCGCTCTGACTTTTCTCGCTTGTGATGCGGTACTTGGGTAATTTGAATAGGGAAAACAGCTGGAAGCAGTAGTCCCGCGATGCAGAAGTTTTTTTCCGATTAACAATTGAGAATGTTATTTCTGTTAGCTTTATAGGCACGTTTGTCTCGACATTCACAAAATAACCCTGAAGAGTCATGGAATTTTCTAGATGAAAAGTTATTGAGAATGTAGAAGCATGTGTCCTGGCACAATCTTATGAAAGAGGGAGTAGATACACAAAGATACTTTTCATTTCACTGGTTCTGCAATTCATGAAGAATAGAATAAGAACCAATGGCTGTCGGAACGGGACTGGTTAAGGTACTCTGGGATGGATGGGACTCTGTGATTGAGTGGCTCTAGAAGTTTCTGGTTGGTTATGAACTTATTTTCGAATGATCGGAAAGGTTTGGGCCACGATACGGGTCAGGCCGCGTTCCTATTTCCAACAAACTTGGTAATAGCAAAACCAGTCTGCATGTTTTTCTTTTTTTCTGGCACGAATTTCTAAAAATTTTCAAAACGAGGACTTTGAAATTTTATTTATTGTTGTTTATTTTGAAGGAGTTATGATGGGATACAGTGTTTGGAGTAAGGGGATATTGAAATTTTGAAACAAAATCGAATATTTGTTCACTTTGGAATAGGAGATCGAATAGATATAGATATGATTCAGATTCAGGAATAGATATTAACATTTGATGGATTAACAAGAAGAAATGGGCGGTAAGTAAGGGGCGAAGCTTTTGAATCATAAGAAGTGAGGTGATCAAGGAAGTGTTATTCAGCAATAGGTGGGGTGGATGAAAGTGGGGACTGTAAATATGCAAAAGGTACACTTAAAAATGCTTTTATTATGGTACATTTTGGGTGTCTCACGATGGAAAAACAAGTGTTGGGACGGGGAAATATTGAAATTTGGAACACAAATCCGAGCATTTATTTTGCAAAATTGGGAATAAGAGAACGAATAAATATGTTCAAGTGTTTAGGAATTTTAAGGATTACCCAAAAAGAAAGTGAGGGAATTTTGAAAGCATGATAATCGAGGAATATTGAGGGAATATTATTTAAAAAAGGAAGGGATGAGTGAACTGTGGAATGTGAAGATGATTTCAAAAGTTGGCAATAGTGTAAACATGGCGACGAATGAAGAAAACGCGATTTATTTGATTCCGCAACGTCGCTTGTTTCAGGCACTGTTGTCCTGGAAAACACAGTGAAAAAACAAGAAAAACTTATTTTTCTTACCAGATCTTTTGGAGGAGCAACGATGTACACGATTTGCCACGCGTAAGCGTGCACCAATCGCTCAGTATAGAGTTCCTTATTAATCAACATTTCTGGAACTTCGTTCATTGCATACCGGCACCAACAACTTGTGTATCTCCCCAATTTCCCGTGCTCTATAGCGTAGAGAAGGGTGTGGGTGCAATTTGGCATCCCAGAAATGAGGACCTCAAAAAAGTAACTTATTTTGTTGAAATAATTATCAGTTGCTTACCGTGTCTTTAACAAAAACGTAGTCTTGAACATTTGGGCTTTCAAAGACAAGGAACCCCTTGTGCCCATCGAAGCAGCTGAACCGACGAAGAAACTTGACGTCGAGGTGGAAGAGTGTCTCTCCTCTAAACATCCTAGTCTCCCATCTAGTGTTTAGGTGATGATTGATCCGCTGAAACAATTTAGCATTTTGATAACACACATGACTAGGAAAATAGAGTCCGATGAGCTCGAATCAAGTTCTTTTCTATAAATTTTGCAGAATCTTACTCCTAAACACAGTTGAGAAACTTACTCCTAAACACAGTTGAGATTTCGGCATGGAAATATGAATATGAATACAGAAAACGACTTACAGTAATTGTGGCAAATGGACGGAACGTGATTGGAGACATCATATTGACGTTGACCATGTCGCCTTTCTTCAATTCTCTGACTTCATCCACACTGGAAAATAAAACTTATAATATCATAGGACATCCCAGTACTCACCAAATGATTCCACATTTATTGGACGACAAATAGAAGACTGCCTGCCCTCTATCGCGGCAGATGAACACACCATCACCTGTCGCCGCCTCCTGAAATCAAAACGAATTTTTCAATTTTGAATTTTAAACAAGCATACTATCCCAACATTTGAGCACGCTACTTCAAAACCATAAAACATGATTCTCTTACCTGGTCCAGCGCCCATGGCCCAACTTTTCGAATTGGTTTCATATCATCAACCATACTCATAATTTCCTCCATAGTGCAAACGTCGTTTTGGCCCAAAGATCTTTCATTCAAAAGTCTGCGTCCCCATTGAAAGACAGTTCCAATGTTTTCCATGAACCATTGAACAGCTGGCTTACCCAATTCGACAAGGCTCCAACGGTGCAACTGGCAAACTTCCGGTCCGTGGTATTCTTCCTCCAGAAGTCTCATGTAAACCATACCTTTTCGGAATTGGCACCACCCGACGACTTCGATACTGCTCGGAAGTTTTTTCACTTTTCGAAGCATCTGGAATTGTTTGAAGTTTTTGAAAATTGAGCTACTTTGATGAAACTTACTTTGGGGCCAATGAAAACTTTGGTGGTCCAGCCAGAAAGAACACACTTCGCAATAACGCATCCTTGCATTTCCTCTGTGGATTCTGGGTAGAACTGGAACAGGCGCATGGTTTCGGAAAGGGAGTTTTTCCTGGCCACATGGCTGCTCGTATAATTATTGTCCTAAAAATGAAATCTGTTTTTCCGTAGAAAGAGTCAGTTTGTTTTACCGTGATATCTATCAGTTTTCCTTCGACGAGTTTGCAGCCGACTAGATGTCCAAGACGTGAGTGATTTAAGGCTGGGTGGCTGAAATCAAAGTTTTCATAGTTTTAGTTATGACAATCTGTATTCGGCAACCGTAGTTTTCGGCACTTAATTCGGAGGGTACGATAGTTTGGGGTTAAAAAGGTATACAAAGCGATTTAGGGGTAGAAAATTCAGTTTTTCAGGTATTTTACACCCCGTACCCCTAAATCGCTTTGTACGCTAATGATTTTTCTAATTCTTTCTCATGGTAGGCTTCTATTCAAAGTTGCATTCGGATAGAGGGGCTTTTATTAAAATAAATACAGTAATCAAATAGCAAACTCACTTGGAGATAACTGCGGTCGCTTCCGTGTCCTGTAGACACAAGAGAAACCCATCCTCGCGTTTCTCCGAGACGTAGGCGAGAACGTAGGTGGGATCCGACATGGGTTATACTTCAAATTCAGAATACTTGTTGTGATTGGAGAATGAAAAATGAATGAGAAACAAAGCCCGCAGATATTAGGATGTGGTGGAGAGGGGAGGAGCCAATGAGTCATCATAATCGCGTGATACTATAAACATTACCCGTCTGTTGCACTGGTAAAGTGTTACTCCCTTGGAACTTACCGCTGGGGTCAGCTCTTTTTTTGCCGCCCATCGGATGAACAGAACAGAGTAGCTTGAGCGGTAGGGGGTCTCCGGTGAACACAAAAAAGAAGGAAGGGTCAAGACAAGTAGTAGGAGATCTACAAGCATGAACATTATAATTTTTCAGTTCGAATAAAAATAATGCATCCTAAAATTATGTGTTCGAGGAATTTTTGATTCTTAGGATTTCGAAAAATTCGGAATTTCCGAATTTTCCGATTTCGAAAAATTAGGAGAAATTTCGAAAACTCAAAAAATGTTCCCGCTCAAGATATTCCGATCGAAAATCGGTTCCGAAAAAATCTGTCTAACGTATTTCTCGGAATTTTTCCGGTCGGAGGTGAAACAGCATGATGTTTCATTTCGACAAACCATGAATGCTCTACTAGAATTATATTTTATCCCTTCACTTTGAGCTCACTTATCTTGGTTTTCTTGAAAGATGTCGAAAATTGGTCAACTGATCAATAGTTTATCATAATATAACCATTTTTTTGGTAGTTTACTAATTCGCATTTCAATCTGAAGAAGGAGAGCTCCACTGCAAAACAAAAATTCAGATATGAAGAAACTAATAATGCACTGAAGGAACCCACCCATGTCATGAAATCGGAGAGCGTGGTTGCTGCCAGACGGTATGAGAGCCATCCTTCTTCAGAGCGATCCTCTGCCTGTCCTTGCTCAAACACGGAAGAAACCGTGCTCCGAGCGCTCATGGAGCCCCGAGATTTGTAGAAGCCCCACTTTGATGTCCACCACGGTGACTTTGGGAGCTGGCTTTTGGAGGTATGGTGTCCTCAAGTTGCCTGAATGTTGTCAACATGACGTGGACAACGACGGTGCATACTGTCATTATTGGATAGTTCTTGTTTTTGTGTTATTCACGAATTAACAAATGGACAGTTACTTTCCTTCCAACCTAATACCTCGAAAACATCAGAAGAACCGGCCCTTCTAATACAGGTCATACGGTGTCTCTGCCGCAATTGGAAATCAAAACCACCTCTCGGTAGCCGAAATTTCAAGGAATGAGAAATAATTCTTTAACTTTCTTCTAAGTGAGACAAGTAATGATCACGAGGTATTGACGCAAACAACTCGGGAAACTTCGGAAAAAGATCCCTGAAGGGAATAAAGCGGGGGCTTAAAACGAAGTGATTCATATTTTTCAACTGATTGGCTCCCTCACTACTTGTGACACTTTTGAAATCTGTGTTAGGAGTAGAGAATCAGAGAAATGATAAAAGTGAGTATCATAAAGTCTATATAAAGTATATTGAAATGATTAAAAAGGTTAGGTAGATTCTTGATTTATCCGAGTTTGCATGATTTGTGCGGGCTAATCAGAATGGAAGTTTCGAAAATAAAAATTTCGAACTACTTCCAAGTGAAAGAGAGAAAACAAAAAATAGAAATAGTAAAGTGAAAAAACATTGCCATGGATATCACGAGACAATTTGAAACATGCACTCCTTAAGCATGTGCTCAGATTGGGGGAAACGTACAATTAGTGTGCACGCGATAAATTAGGCAACACTCGCCAATTGAGTTGTAAAGTTCAGCACCTTTTGTTGTGTGCCTTTAACATGAGAACAATTTCTTAAACACAAGAAAAATAATGATGATCAACTTCAAGATTGTGAAAATTAATACAGTCTAACTGTTTGTACCGTAAGACACTACAGTAACGAAAGAAATGGAATAGGAAAATGTTATCTGTTGGCAAGCTACCATTTTAGTTTCAGCATAAATATAGTTGGAAACATGACGAATACCGTAAAACCTATAGAGCATTTGGTGTTTTAGTCAAAGCTAGCCGTTTTTAGTTTTGAAACGCATTCAACCACAATTTTAAACAGTTTTAGAGAACACAGTATGATTCTGAACGTTTTTCATGTTTTTTTTTTCAAAAAAACATTTTTTTGAAAAATAAAGTCACCATGGGGTCCCCCCTTTGCTTTTGCAAAATTGAGATTTCAAACTCGATTCTCTCGAATCTGGTGAGTCCGCAGCAAAATCTGGATATATATTTGAAAATGTCTCATCCTCAGTTTTCTAATGATATAGGTCTCATATCGAAGTCACATACCTCACAAACAACCTTCCCTAGTTAGAGCGAATAATCCTATTTTTTGAAATATTTTTCCTTTGTGATTGATTTCTAGAGTTTGGCATTTCTTGACCCACGGACTCTGTTTGTTTTCTTCAACCTACAGACCCTTTTTGTTGTTCTCTGATACAAGATAATGGATCCCATCGAAGCTTTGCTTACGAGTGAGCAGAGATCAACTCAAGTCGCAACTAGTTTCAATCTGAGAATCATTAAAATGGTGTGAGACCAGTTAACGATATTTTTCTTTGTGTCCGGAACTTCAAAGATGATAAAATTCAGTTGTACTAGGTTACCGAGACTAGAAGAAACTTTATGAATAGTGAGCCTCGACTCAGCTTCCATCGCTCTCTAGATATCAGCTTCGATACTCAAATTTATGAGGTCAAAACTAGGTGTCTCTTAGAGCGAATAATCGCAATCCCGAAAGCGATTGAGCCAAGGTCGCACTACAAAATAGTCAAGTGACTTGTCATCAATTACGGAGCATGTAGATAGATGAGCAACGGTAGCGAATTCTCATTCGAATAATTTGGAAAGAAGACTGGGAATTACAAAAGCAATTACAAACTGGGAATTTTTATTGAACATGAGTTGAATATTTTTAAACCAAAAAAAATCGGTCGGCAAGAATGAATAAAGTGCGCGCTCAAAAAATGTAAATGACTTTTGGAACAACCTAATAGCTTTAACTGACAAGAGAAGTGTTTTCAGACGGGGGTTGAGAATTTGTTGAAAATTTTAGTACTTTTAGTTTGAGACATCCTCTACACGATGTCAGAAATATCTCGTCCCCGGATTCACCAGGAAGCTAATAATCTTCGTCTGAAAATTCTCTCCCAATCTCGGCGCGCACTTCCTCTACGCCCTCCGCGCCAGAAGAAAATGTCGGTTGTGTGGTGTTGTGGTAAGAAGGGGAATCATTAGGAATGAATATGCTGGTTCGAACCCCGCCGTGGGAAAACTTTTTTGCTTTTTTCAAAGCGAACTGTTGATTTCCAGTTTGGCCTCTAGACGCTTTATGACACTTATTTTTAATTACAAGGTATTCAAAGTAAATAAATAATTTATGAGAATTCGATGAAAAATTTAATAATGATCTTTTCGACCGGTCCTTGCATTACATGATAGTTCTGGAAATTTCTCAATTTGTTCTTTTTGAAATGTAGTACTGCTATTATTGTTGTGCGAAAAAATTGGAGTTGTGGCCGAATTTTCTCTCAAGTTAGGCCACGGTATTTCATGAAGAATTTTCGAAAACACAGCCGGCAAACGAGTGCTACCGTTACCCAGCGATAAATAATTTCGCAATTTTTTTGTATTATTTTTTAATTATTTTTTCGATTTTTCTCGATTTTTTCGCTATTTTGGCCGTTTTTTTCTCTTTTTTTCGAAATTTTTATAAATCAGGTCGCAAAACAACAAATTCGCTCATTTTTGTATGAGTAAATCGAACGCCTGGCTGGGAAATGCGGGTTATGTCCTGTTTTGTGATGTTAACGGTTTATATGCTTTTTCTTCGTTGTTTTTCCGCATGTTCTTTCCCAAAAAGCACTAATTTCAGGCTACATCTACTCGCAGTGACCGGATGATGACAGAGGGACATCGTCGAAGTGAGGAAACGTCGCCATGTGTGAATTTCGATTTCAGTGGGATTTTGCGGTTGGTTTAATGTTTCGAACAGGTATTTCTTCGCTGCCGGTTGTTTCATTTTTGCAGGCTGGTCGGATTGAATACTCGAATCAATTGAAGAGCGAAAACCGATATCGATGAAAAGCGAGTAAGGAAAAGGAAACGAGAGCGAAGAGATGAAGGAAGAAAAAGAGCTGAAATTCATGAATTTCGGTGTGGCGATGATGTAAAATTTGGATGCGGTTAGTCTGAACCTTACAGCTATTTCTACTCCGTCTGTACGTTTTCAGGTATCTCGTTCATCACACGCCGCCGCCGACGTCTACAAATCAACTTCTTCCTTCTCGGAAGTCTTTTCTTCGTGCTTCATCATAAAATGCCTTTAATTATGTTGAAAAATTTGTCTGATTGGTAATAAATGTTACTTTTCTTGCAATTGAAAATCTCACCCGAGGAAAGGTGAACTGAGAACAGGACAACTCTAGAAGGAATAGGTCTGAAATCCATAATAATGAAATAATAAAATCCTAGTCATGTGTGTTATCAAAATGCTAAATTGTTTCAGCGGATCAATCATCACCTAAACACTAGATGGGAGACTAGGATGTTTAGAGGAGAGACACTCTTCCACCTCGACGTCAAGTTTCTTCGTCGGTTCAGCTGCTTCGATGGGCACAAGGGGTTCCTTGTCTTTGAAAGCCCAAATGTTCAAGACTACGTTTTTGTTAAAGACACGGTAAGCAACTGATAATTATTTCAACAAAATAAGTTACTTTTTTGAGGTCCTCATTTCTGGGATGCCAAATTGCACCCACACCCTTCTCTACGCTATAGAGCACGGGAAATTGGGGAGATACACAAGTTGTTGGTGCCGGTATGCAATGAACGAAGTTCCAGAAATGTTGATTAATAAGGAACTCTATACTGAGCGATTGGTGCACGCTTACGCGTGGCAAATCGTGTACATCGTTGCTCCTCCAAAAGATCTGGTAAGAAAAATAAGTTTTTCTTGTTTTTTCACTGTGTTTTCCAGGACAACAGTGCCTGAAACAAGCGACGTTGCGGAATCAAATAAATCGCGTTTTCTTCATTCGTCGCCATGTTTACACTATTGCCAACTTTTGAAATCATCT